AGATAGATAGATAGATAGATAGATAGATAGATAGATAGATAGATAGATAGATAGAAAATACTAACTTTGATCTCTAGCAATTCTGTGATTGACTGATTTAACTTTTTGTCAGTCCCACTAGGTAGACTAGACCAGGAAATCAATTCCATAGGAAGGCTAAAACGACTTTTATTGAGATTGACTGTAATAACTAAATCTTGCAACTCTGATTGTGCTGTACCTCCTCCTCCTTATACTTCAGTGAATTAGGGAGGCGTCTAAACTTTATCTCATTCTGTACTTAAAAATGCTTCCGCTCCTTTTGCCTAGGTTATAATTCCTGCACATCAACATCATATTTCTTGGCCTCTACATTTTTAATTAAGCCAAGCCAAATGGCAACAGAAAATAAGACCAGTCATCACTGACCACCCACCATTATTCCTGCTACAAATTAACATCAGCCATCTCTAATTATGCCATCTTTAGTATCAGATATCAGAACTAAGCCAACAAACTAAACACAGTCCATTGGTGATACATGATCGTCCACCAGCATCTCAGTAAACCTCTGGATCTTGCTGCATCCTTGGCTTTCCAAAACTGAGAGAGTTCTCCAGTACCTAAGAGCTTGAGAACTTACCATTTGTGAAGGCCTGGATTAAGGAGAAAATGTGTTCTTCTGAAAATGTGGTCTCTTTTAAATAATTTCCAAGTACAAAGAAGGAAAGGGCAAATGGTCCACTTACTCAGCAGAATAATAATGCAGAGCAGGATAGCAATGAGTGCGCCTGTGCTCAGGCCTGCTGGAAGGAGCAAAGCTTCAGCGTTACAAGACTGCATGTTTCCCCTGCTGTCACAGGCACACACTCTGATGCTCAGTGTGCCAGTGCTACTCTGTATGGGGTAGTCATTGTCAAATATTATTACTGGCAGGACATAGGTGCTCATTTTACTGCGGCTGTATCCATTCCGTCTAGTTACAACTCCTGCTGTGTTATCTGCATCAGAAGAACCGAAGAAATGTAAAATTATATTGAAAACCTTTCAGCAAAGGAATCAAAATGTAACATTGAGAACCAACAGTTAAAGCCTACCTTTGTTATCTACAATAGAGAAGTTTGGATGGACTGTGTATTCTGGCACCAATTCAAAAAAAAATTTGTGTCCACGAGGTGGTTCATCTTTATCCACAGCACTAACAGTTTGTATGAGCTGCCAGGAAATAATTATACATTGTCAGAAAAACAGAAGTTACATCTTTTGCTTTGTAGCATAACCTATTCAGATAAATACCTGTAATGGTTTAGAAAGAACCACATGGACGAACTTCTACTATGGTTCTTCTGAGTTTAAACAGATTTACATAGAAGGGAGCTCTAGCACAATTTCCAACCACAGTGAGGGACTGTTCCTTGTGGCTATCCATCTGTTGCTCAAACATAACAGCTTTCAAGCAAAGTGCCAAATAACTTTTGTGGGTTTCTGGAAGCTAATGAGATTTTTTTTTTAAAAAAAATAAGGATAACAAATGTCCCTAAAAAACAGCTTTCTTACCATTACCAATGTTCCAAAAATGTGTAATCACAGGGAAGTTTTGGTATATCATGAGCCATATTCACAGTTCAAGAAGGGCATCAAGGAGACCTAACATATTTAGCTGGTATCCTATGTGTGAATTATAGCATATTGCCCAGAATATTTTACACTATGCATGATGTTCATGATAGATAAGTTTCTTTTTTAAAAAAGCCTTTTCCCCCCTTTTCTTAATTATTGCACTTCTCATATATAATAACCAAGGCTATCTGGATGGGTGGTGTACAGGTGAATGAAACATCCATAATGCAAAATCATAAAACAATGACAGCAAGGCTGTAGAAAAGAAAAACATTAGCAACAGGAGCTGAAAACCAACAGCAACACATAATAATCAAACCAAATTTAAAACTAGCCACACTGCAGGAAAAAAAAAAGAAAGAAGAAAGAAAGAAAGAAATACAGAACTTAAGAATACCCATCCAAGGGTATTGAAAGAGTGGGAGAAAAAAAGAATCATCATTACCCAGTGCCCAGAAGACTCACATAGGAGGTAAGTCTTTCTCAGGAAGGCATTCCACAAAAGGTGTACAAGAACTAGCAGAAACTTTAAACAGAGGCAGAGCAATGACCTAATACACTAAGATAAACTGGGGGGAAGATGAACTGGAAGCCTGGTTCCAACCCAGTTATGTCTGAGATTAAAAAGAAGCAAAAAAAAAAAAAAAAATTGCACCAACTTTCATACCAAGACAAACTGATGGCTAGTGCTGTTGCCAAACTCCTGGCATAGTGCAGTCAACTCAGCTAGTTCCAGTTAATAGCCTAGTTTTTCCAACTTTAAAAAACAACCCCTCCTCCAAAAAACACCCCCTAACTTAAAATTGTCAGACTATTTTCAAAGGCAGTCCCATACTTAACATGTTAAAATAAATCAAAAGGGGCGTTAACAGAGTGTGTTGAACTGTGGCAAAGATATTTCTGGCAAGTAATCACCTAGTTGGTATATTAGGCTAAGTTAATCAGAAGTCCATCAGAACCACAAAGCTACTAGTGATAATGATGGATTGAAGAAACATTCACAAAAAATATATCTTGTCTACATTGTATCTCAGATTCCTGGCTCTGCTCCAGTCCATTGCTTTGTCCATGTCTAGATCAGAACATCAACTGTCTCACTTATTCTAGAGGAAAAGGACTCTTGGGACTCCTTTTCCACCCCGCCCCACTGGCAGAATGGGCAGGCAACTATTTCTGGAGGCCAGAATCAGATGACATTGCCTTCTGTGAATACCTTACTCCCTGTCAAAATGACTCCAGGACTTGCTTTTCTGTTCTATTTCTAAAGTACACTTTTCCATTTTATATTGCCTCAAGTCCATTTCAGATAACACGTCAGCAGTTCATTGACTACTCTGTAGAGAAAAGAATGCCACTTCAACTGACTCAGTGCCTACTGTGTTCTCTCTTACCTTTTAAATCTGCCTTTACCAATTCTGTAATAACATAATGGTTACTACACTTGTCTTTTAAATAGAAGGCTGCTGATTCAAAATCCAGCAGAAAATTTTTAATTACTATTTTTACCCTTCCTCCTTTTTAAAAGGGATTCACCCTCCAGCTCCTTGGTGACTGGTGTACCACTGGGAATATTGCCATCTATGCAGTTACTTAGCAGGTAAAGGTAGGAAGCTCAGAGAAAGAAAAATAGTATTAAAAATAAATTATACCAGGTTTTGAACCAGCAACCTACTATTGAGAAGGCATTAGCTTTAACCACTGTGAAATTATAGCACTTGTGACAATAGTAACTCTAAAAAACAAGAAAAAGAAAAATATTTTCAGAAAATAAATTCTTTGTTTAGAAATTTTCTATGTGGTTCTTCAATTCTAAAAATATCTTTACAGAAAATGCAATTATCAATTAATGAGGGAGGATTTGGTCTTCCAAATCTGGAGCTGTATCATCATGCTTACTATTGTCAAGTATTAAATAGTGGAAGCCAACAAGTGGTGTTAATTTTCCAATTTGGACAACTTTGGAATATACATATATAACACCTTTGGACAGATGGGCAGTATTAGGATCAAAATACACTAAAACTCTAATATCTCTGGAAACAATTTCATCAGTTAGAAAGCTATGGAACGTAATGTCTAATAAAAAGG